CTATTTGTTGCCAGTCTGAGTGGAAATTATATTTTGTTATAATTTGCATTTCTCTGAGTTACTGATAAACTTAAGTATTAGTTAAATGCTTGGCATTTATTTTGTCTTTCCTCTATAGGTTAACTCCATAGGTTAATTATGTACACATGAAATCATTATATTAGCCTATTTAAGATGTACATATTGTATTCCACATTAATATACTTTTTTTTAAAAACTGGAATATATCTGCATTAGCTAGATTTTAAATGATTTCTCAATTCAACAATGATTTTTACTTTTGTTTTATCATCGAAACATGATAAATGAACAGCTTTCATGAGAAGAATTGCTGTTTGTCTGCTGATGGGATTTTTATTAGGTCATATGGTTTAGGATACTTTTGTATATTTTGTATTAAACTTTACGTTAGCATTGATGAAAAAATCAGTCACCTTTAAATTTGAAAATTTGGAAATGGCGATAGCAGTTTTTACGCCAAAAATGTGTGTGACAGTTTTAGGCTTTGTTTTGACAGCTCTTACTTTAAAAACCTAAAATATTTTTTTATAAACACTGTATTGAAGAACAATTATCTAAGGAAGAGGGAATTTTTTAAAATATATTTTATTGATTTTTTACAGAAAGGAAGGGAGAGAGAGAGTTAGAAACATTGATCATCTGCCTCCTGCACACACCCCACTGGGGATGCGCCTGCAATCAAGGTACATGCCCTTGACCTGAATCAAACCCAGGACCTTTCAGTCTGCAGGCTGACGCTCTATCCACTGAGCCAAACCGGTTTCTGTGAGGGAATTTTTAAATGGGATTATTTTCATACTTGAGTGTGATGAAATCCTTGATGTCAGTGCGATATATCTAAAGACCATCAGCAACACACCTGTGGTAAGGAAGGTGACTTACTTCTCACACTGAGGGACCAGTGTGCCAGGGAGACCCTGTGGTGTCTCATTACATATCCTGCAGTGGGAACCAGTTTGGCTGGATGATTTAAGACAAGTTATAAAGAACGAGGGGTATCCTTTAGACTTGATGCTGAGACCTTTCTATGACTGGATAAATAAATCATTTATAGCAAGCGAGGGATGTTTTATATTTTGTGGATTGTTATACAGTGACTCTTTTTATTTAATAAAATTATAAATTTGTATTGCTCTTTTTAATTTACCATGATCTCAAAGTAATCTGACCTCAAGATGGTGTTCTATCTAATTGTGTATGTTTCTCCCTCCCTCCACCCCAACCTGCTTCCTTCTTCCCTCTTCCTCCTCCTCTCCCTCCTTCTCTTCCTCTCCTATCCAGAATCAATAAAAATTGTTTAAAAATAGCTGAAACCGGTTTGGCTCAGTGGATAGAGTGTCAGCTTGCGGACTGAAGGGTCCCAGGTTCGATTCCGGTCAAGGGCATGTACCTTGGTTGTTGGTACAACCCCAGTAGGGGGTGTGCAAGAGGCAGCTGATCGATGATTCTCTCTCATCAATGTTTCTAACTCTCTATCCCTCTCTCTTCCCCTCTGTAAAAAATCAATAAAATATATATATTTTTTTAAAAAAAGCTCTGGCTAATCAGGACACAGACTTTTAAAAAAATTGTTTAAAAATATATGCTTAATTGCAGAATTTTTCTTCCATCCTTCCCCCCTCCCCCCAGTCACCCAGGGTACTGACTTACTTATAAAGATGTGAGAGATTGTGAGAGATTTCATTTGGACAAAAACAGGAAAGTTAGCTTTACCTTGTAGCTTTGCCACAGATAACCTTACCCATGTTTAGTTACCTCCTGCAGGAACCCTAACCAGGGCCTGGCCAGGGAGGAGCCTGCAACCGAGGTACACGCCCTTGTCCGGAATAAAACCCGGGACCCTTATGTCCATGGGCTGATGCTCTATCCACTGAGCCAAACCGGGTAGGACTTAATTTCTTCATTGTCTCCTCACTTTGAAGTAGCCCTCTCCCTCTGCTGCCTGTTGCGGTGGAAGCCACCTTACTCCTGCCCTCTTCACTCACTGCAGTTACCTTTGTACTATTCTGTTCATTCTGCTCTTCCCTTGCAGTGAGTGCCTCCTCCACAGAGGACGCAGAGCGATCTTTTCAAATATGTTAAGAGTCACCAAACTCCTCTCTGAAAGGTCTCTCCCCACCCATTGTAAGTAAAGTAAGCCTCAGACTTATTATGGCTTAGCAGACCCCGAAGGACTCCTGCTTGCCTCTGTGATTCATCATGGCTTTTCATCTTGCTACTACTCAACGGGTTGGCCTTTTTTGTTCTTGGAAATAATCAAATGCATCCTTATTTGGAATCATCAGTCTTTGCAAGTCTGGCTCCTTCTCCTTTATTCCTTAGAGATAAAACCTATTTCCCTATTTGTAAGTTATCTCTTACAAATTAGCTAAATTAGCTTCATGTACTCTGTCTTACTTTGTTTTATATTATTTGTAGCACTTATCGTTCGTTTGTTCGTTCATTAACTCAACCTATTGTGTGGTCCTCCCTTTCCCATCTCACTTCACTCCCCACTTCGCACATAAGCTCTGAGTGGGTGGGAACTTGCATGTCTTTCCATTTCTAAGTGTGCAGCCCCTAAGGAAGTACCTGCCACAAGATACGAAATTAATAAAGATCTGTTTGCTAAATGAATATACTTACAAATGAGTAAAGGAAAAAACAACCAAATGAGTGAATGAGTGAACATTCTATACATATGTCTGTTGACTATTAACAAGAGGAATACTTGTTAGTTTATTATTTAATTGAGGTATAGCTTTCTGAATAAAAAGTCAATCTGTTTCTCTGGATATACGCCTTAAAATATAATGTTCTTTTGAGCATGGTCTAGGACTATGGTTTAGATGGTATAGCATCATCATGATGTTTTCCTGGTGCTTAAAATAATATTTGGATGCATTTCTCTGGAGTGATTATAATGTAAATATGTTTTCATGTGTAAATGTCACAATCCAATCAGAACTTTGGGAGAGGTGTGAGGTGGGTTGAAAAATAGCCTGAGTGTTAGAATTTTCCACAGAGTTATAATACTTTATAAATTTGGAGGTGAGAGCCTATGTATAAAATACATATGGTTTTATGCCTAATAAGTTTGAAAATAATTTATTTTTTGTTTTCTCTACTTTGTATTTCTTGTTGTTGCATTTAGTGTTCAAATTTAAATTACTTCTTTTATATTTCAATTTAAGGACTCCATTTCTACAGACATAATATCAAGTCCTAATGCATAGTGTGTGAATGTTGTTTTGTAGTGGATGATGAAATGTGGTATTAAAATGTTAGGTGGAGGGAGGAAAACAGCCAGCCTTGATTTAGAATCCCGCCTGTAATTAATACTCCAGTATTAACTTGTCCTTGAGCCTGTTTACTCACCCACAGAGTGGGCATTCAGGATTGTGTTGAGAATTCAGCTGATGTATTTAAGTTTGTGGCGTGGTGCATGTAGCATTATTAGGTCTGGACAGTCGTTAAATTGAGTCCTTTTTCTCTTTTTTCTGTCAGCAGCATAAGGAGGTATTTGACTTTCCAAATACAAGATTATTATTCTGTGTAGATAATATAAGTGCATAAAGTGTATAATATTTGACATTTTTTTCTATAATCAATGCTTGACACTGTAATTTGCAAAGAGCATCAATCACAACAAATTCAGTGCTAATAGCAAATGTTTATTGTTGCCATGTGTCAGACACTGTCTTAAACACCCTACATATATTACTAAATTTTAAAATATATTTTTATTGATTTCAGAGAGGAAGGAAGAGGGATAGAGAGAAACATCGATGATGGGAGAGAATCACTAATCAGCTGTCTCCTGCACACTGAGGATCAAGCCTGCCACCCAGGCCTGTGCCCTGACGAGTAATTGAACCATGACCTCCTGGTTCATAGGTCAATGCTCATCCACTGAGCCATGCTGGCTAACTAATTTATTAATATCACAAAGCCCATGAGACACTAATTCCCATTTTACAGATGAGTAAACTGAGACACAGACTGTTAAATCATAGTGCACATAGACACATCTGGGTTTGAGAGATTCTATACTTTCTTATGCATAAAAAATGATAGTAAAAAACTGCTTTCGTTCTTCAGGTAGACTCAGTAATCACCCAGATATAAACTTTAACATATAAACTTTCCCATTCCCATCTTCTAGCTGTGAGGGACTCTAGTTTTAGGACTTAACATCCATCTTTCTTTGTGCAAAGGAAGGAAGACAAGAGAAACATGCCAGTTTGATTGCTAGTTCTGCTTGAGAGTCATGTTATATGGGCAGCTGTTGATAAAATAATTATAATTTTTATTCTTTTTTAATGTTGAGAAATCATAATTATTTGGGGTGGAAAACAAAGGGCACACAAAATATAGATTCTTTTAATATGATTATATGTGGAAGTACTGGAATACTGCTTTTCACACAAATGTGTTTGTTAGCTGGAAGGGTATAAAAGAACTTTATTATACTTAACTGTTTTACGAAGCATGTTTTACTGATATGTCCCAGTGCCCATTAAGCCTTTTTATAGCTTTGATCTTGTTTAGTTTTCCTGCTTTTCATTCCCAGTTCCTCTATGTCATTTATCAGTTTTTAAATATTTGAATGAGATCTTTGTTTATCTTAAGATGATTTCTTACCGTTTCTGGCTCAGTAAGCATACAGTAATTTCAGGCCATGAAGACCCCTACTGAAATTTGAAAGACCATGAAGTCTTTGTAGGTGATCTTAAGATAACATTGTTCTTGGCCTTATGATGAACTGTATATGTGTATCAGCTTTGAGACATAATAATTACTTTAAATTTTTTTTAGGCTTTGGTTGCATTTAATCTTCTGGCTTGATGAAATGTTAGAGTATAAAGGAAATAAATTTTCCATCTTAAAAATGTTTTATGAAGCTTTTCTCTCCCTGTGGTACTTCCTGATGGCCTGATACTATGTCACGTATAATTGGATTGATACTCAGCCTGAATACTTCTTTCTCTTCTTGGCAGCATGGGGTAACCTTGGAAATGTTCTGAAGAGTCAGAGCAAAATTTCCGAAGCTGAAAGCGCCTATAGAAATGCTTTGTACTACCGTAGCAACATGGCTGACATGCTTTATAATTTGTGAGTATGCATTGCTTTCTCTGCTTTGGTTCATCTTTGAAATCTGCGGTGAGGAGGACTATTGATTTAACTGCTGGAGATGGAGATGATAACTGTTTTTTTTTGAAATAGTCTTTTCATTAATCATAGACTAGTAGGTGGATGGTATTTATGATTCTTTGTTATGGGCCACCTCTCTGATATTCATGTGTATCGATGTGACACAACTGAGGTACTGTGCCATGTAACAAAAATTCGTTTAAATGCTTTTAAATTTTTTAAAAGTGTGTTCCATTAATACTTAGATGGGTTCATAAAATAAACCTGCTATGGTTGATAATTTATATAATTAATATCTTGACTATTAGTAATAATAGATTTTGTCCTCTATTAAAAAATTGCTTTCAAGTATATGTAGAACATGTATTAGTGACCAAGATAATGACTCTTCTTTTATTTGTCCCCTCTCCAATGATACTAATAATTAGTTTGGGATAATTGGGTAATTTAGAATATTTGTGTAAACTGGATTAGAAAAATCTCTAGGGGAAAAATTGGTTTTGTTCTTTAAATAAAAAGTCCCTAGGGGTACAGTGAGATGTGGATGAATAAATGCTAATTAACCCAAATCCCTTTTTTGGCCTCTTATATTTATGACACTCTTTTCTTTATAAGTAATAGAAATGTAGTCTAAACTTGCTTAAACACAGAAGAGATTTTATTAACTCCCATAACTGAAAATTCCTGGCGTTAACTAGATGTGGCACAATTAGATCCAAGTGCTTTAGTATGTTGTAAGAATTTGTCTTCATTTTGTGGCTCTGGTTCCTCTGGGTTCATTTCTTTCTCTGTAGAACTCTGTCTACTAGTATATCCATTGGGAAGATGATTCTTATACTGTTATGTGTATAGCATCCTAACTCCTCAGACTCAGACGTGATTGTCTTGGTGTCTCTATTAATCTTGCAAAGAAAGGTCTTGCTATATCTTCCTTTCTTGGATGAAACACTGGGCAGTGTGGCAGGGGCTGTAAGATACCACTGTTGACAGTGCCACCAAAATTGGAGTGGACTCTAGTGGAGGGGAGGGGAGAGGAGGGTTGTGAAATGAAGGGGAAGGCAGGGGAGGGGAGTAGAATGGAGTAGAGAGGAAAGGAGGGAAGGGGAGGGGAGGGGAGGTGAGGGGAGGGGAGGGAAGTAGAGGGGAAGGGAAGTAAGGGGAGGTGAGGGGAGGGGATTACCAATTCCCTGCTGGAAGGGACCAGGCAGAATAAGATGTCTACTGCTGTGACTGATGAATGCTATGTAATATTGACAATATCAAAGTTATCTGTCAGCTCTAATTTTTAGTATGTATTTATGTCCCAGTTGCATCTAAGTCTTTTGTACTGTCTAAATCTAAAAACACAGATAAAAAGATAAAATAAAAGTTAATAGGAAAAAAGATTTAGATTTTTAACGTCAAGCAGATAGGGTGAGCTCAGTTTGATTTCCTGTTTATATATTTACCTTGTTTTTGCTTTGCTTTATATCTTGGTTGTTGAAAGAATTACATATGTCCCCTTTTCCCCCTGCTAGCCGGTCCCCTCACCCCCACCCAGGCCTTCACCACCCTTGTATCTGTGTCCATGGGTTATGCGTATACTGGTATGCATACAAGTTCTTTGCATTTACCTTGTTTTTAACTTCCCAGAACTTCACATTGGGGTGTCAGTCTCATAGCCTGTGATTTAAATGAGGTCAGCATGTGTTGTATGTTGACCTGCACAGATTTAATTTTTTTCTTTTTTTTACCTGTACGGCTTTCAGATGGAGCACATCCTTTCCAGCTTGCACAACCCCTGGTGCTCTCTGCTGTGTTTCATGCTCACCAAATATATCACCATCCTTTTCCCTGAAGTAATTTAGTTTGCTTTTTTGTTTTTTCTGGAATAAATATATCTTGATATTTCTACAAAGTCTTTTCCCACATCATCTCCATCTAAATATTGTGATGTTACTATATTACTGGTTGATAGAATCTTTATTTCATGAAAAAAACCTTATCAGCTTGATAAATTTTCACAAATGTTCCTCTTATTTATTTACTTACTTTTTGTAGATGAAAGTAATGTTGTCAAAGGGGCCACTTGCCTTGCAATATGGGTTGAGAGTTTTCTTATGGTGTTCATTCTTTGTACATTTTGGGGGAGAAAACAAGCTGAACCATTAGCATCTCTGTTTTTATTTTATTTTTCTCTCTTTTATCCACAGTTCTCTAACTCTTGTGGATACCTGTTGGGCAAAAGTTGAAAGAAAAAAGGAAATGTAACTATTTAGGCTTATTCTTTTTTGAGAAGAGAAATTTATTTTATTTGATAAATTCAATTTACATGTAATCTAAAAGTTTCATGTTTAAAACTCCACTATCTAGATGCATATATAAACTATGAAAGTATATGTATATACCTTCCCAAGCCCTAATGAAAAATCCTTGTTGGAGAAATGATTGTTAATAAGTAACACAATCAGGTTTTGATTTTTCCCTCCCACTAAATAGGAAAATCAGCTATGTCATAAATGCCATAGATAGCTCCATAATATTTTTACTAATATGACAGGGTTATATTTTTTTTTAACTACATTTAACTTTTAGCTCAAAGGGAATGGCTTAAATTCCAACAAGAAGTGTTGGCAATGATTTCAATGTCTTAGATTTTATAACCCATGTCATTGAGAGAAATCTGATATTCAATAATTATATTTCAGAATAGGGAATTTTTCAATGTTTTTTTTAATCAAATATCAATAAAATGCACCAAGATAGATCTTTTACAACCCATAATATCCTATAGAATAAAGAGGCAATATTCAAATTGACCCTCACACCCTTGCACAAGATGGCCGCCCCCATGTGGTCAAAGATAGCTGCTCCCATTTGGTCAAAGATGGCCACCACAAGATGGCCCACAGGGGAGGATAGTTGTGTGCAATCAGGCCAGCTGGGGAGGGCAGTTAGAGGCAACCAGGCCAGCAGGGAAAGGCATTTGGGGGTGACCAGGCCAGCAGGGGGGGGGGGTGTTTAGGGGCAACCAGGCTGGTAGGGGAGAGCAGTTGGGTGAAACCAGGCCTGCAGTGGAGGGCAGTTGGGGGGAACCAGCCTGCAGGAAAGGGCAGTTGGGGATGATAGGCCAACAAGGGTGGGCAATTAGGGGTGACCAGCCTGTAGGGGAGGGCAGTTGGGGATTACTGGGCCAGCAGAGGAGGGTAGTTGGGGGTGATCGGGCCAGCAGAGGAGCAGTTAGTCATAGATCAGGTTGGCATGAGAGTGGTTAGGGGGTGTTCAGGCTAGCAGGCAGGCAAGCAGTTGGGAACCAGCAGTCCCAGATTGTGAGAGGAATGTCCAACTGCCCAGTTTAGGGATTGGGCCTAAACCCGCAGTTGGACATCCCCCGAGAAGTCCCTTATTGGAAAGAGTGGAGGCTGGGCTGAGGAATACCTCTCCCCACTGCTTGCCCCAAGTGCATGACTTTTGTGCACAGAGCCTCTAGTTATAAATATATCGTATCATATTTATCTAGCTCCTCTGCTGGCCCGATCACCCCCAACTACCCTCCTCTGCTGGCCCAGTAATCCCCAACTGCCCTCCCCTACAGGCTGGTCACCCCTAATTGCCCACCCCTGTTGGCCTATCATCCCCATATTTATCTAGGAACACTTTTCTTAATTCTTTACAAATGTTATCACAGTTTGTCTTTTCTATTTATTTATATAGGTAGGAAGGTTTCTCAAAGACAGTTTAGAGACTATTTTGGAAAAAAATTTCTTTTCAGAAGTATATGCTATTTTTAATACATAATGCTCTGTTATGTATAGAAATTGCTCCTTGTTCTCTTTCAAATCCTGAAAGAAAATGAATTTGCTTTGCTCAATCTTATCAGTAAGTAAACTTAACCTGATAATGCTCCTGTGTGGTAATAGCAGGATTTAATTACTTTTCACATCGTCAGTTATAGTTATGTCTCTTAAAGATGCTTTATGACCTGAAATTAATGAATATGTATTAGTTGCATGAAATACTCATATTCACTGATGAATTTTGAAAGCTTTTGGAAATTATACACTTCTGTTAAATCCTGTACTTTTAATCAGTAACCTAGATTTTTTAAAAAACTAATTCAATGTTCATAAAGCTTTGTAAATTATTAAAATTTTTCATATTGTTAGAATTTTTTGCTAGGAAAATACATATGACTATGTAACTGTACAAAATGCATCCAGAGATATGGAACAGACTGACCAATCTCAAGGGAAGAGGGGCAGTGGAAGAGATTAACAAAAGTATTAATATACATATATGCATAACCTATGGACACAGACAATAGCGCAGTGAAGGCCTGGGGAAGGGGGCAGGAGCAGGGTGAAGGTGGTCAGTGAGGGGAAAAGGGGATTTACCTAATAATTTCAACAATCAAGATAAATTAGGAAAAACCCCCATAATCAATCATTACTAAAGGGAGGTATACCAACATTGACCAACCACAAGATGATTCTAGGAGGTCAGAGAGAATCCTAAATTAGACCCTGTATATTGAATTTTATGTTTAAATGAAAAAAAAAAAGACTAGCACATTTAAAAGCACATCTAAATATTGTTCTATGTCAGGATAGATAAATGATTGGAAAAATTAAGTAAATAATAGTATAAATGATATTTGGTTATATCTGAAGTTGGGCAACGTTGCTTGATAATATCCTCAAACTTTGAGGACAGTTTCTTTTTCCAGGATTAATATCAAGTTATATATGAGTGATGCATATAAATGGTTATATATCTTTTTAATAAATGAATGGGATAATATTAATCCTTTTTTCTTAATAGCAATTAATTGATTTACTTTACATATACCAAACACTCTTCTTAATTCTTTACAAATGTTATCACAGTTTGTCTTTAAATGAAGCCTACAATATGAGTAAAATTTAAGTCAGAGGCAATTTCTCTAAGGTCACACAAATAGTAGAGGTTTGAACTTAAAAGAC